TTAAAAAAATCCATTCTTGAAACCAATTCTCTATCATAAATATATACACCCATCAAGCCAAATATACTCCCAAAGAAACCAAATTGAATGTTTCTTATTCATACCAACTGCTTTGTTTAAGATTTTGTCAAAATAAATGCCAGCAAAGCCAGTTGAAAAACATGCCGTGAGAACTGCCATGAGGCCTACAAACTGAGAGCCAGCTAAAAACTCCTTGGAATCAAGCTTTTGAGAATTGGAAGGCCACTGTATAAAAGCAACTCCTGTTATCAAAATACTAGGGAGCCACTGGTATATACCTAATTTTTGCCAATCATAGACACAGAAAATAATGCTGTTGTATTTTCAACTGATATGTGACTTGATAAGTGGCTGTATCTAGATTTGACAGTGCCACATACAGTAAATTATTCTGAAGAGTATTGATCCCTGATAGAACAGCAAGTTCAAGCATTTCCATGTGTTTGTTAAGAATTTCATCATGTGCTTCCTGCAGCCAGCATCTTTCCTGGGTAAGTTTGGTAGTGCCCACTGTGCCTTGACTACCCCCAGCCTCGTTGACTCTCTTAGCTCCCTCACCCCATCTCTCTTCTTAAAGTGGGTACTGGCCCATTTCTTCTCTTGGCACCCAGACCTCTGTACTGACCTCTTGGCTCAGACTCCCCCTGCTTCCTGATCCTTTGCACCCAAACCAACCCAATTCCAACCTCTTGTCCAGAGCCCCTTGGGGCCTGTTCCCGACCCCGCCTCCCTTTGCATCCCTGGGCAGCCCAGCCCAGCAACTTCCTGGGGCCAGCATCTTTCCTGGGTAAATTCTGCACTACCCACTGCACCTTGAACCCCTAGCCTCTTCCACCCTCCCAGCTTCCCCACCCCATTTCTCTCCTAGCATGGGCACTGGCCCATTTCTTCTGTTGGCACCCCAGGCCTCTGGACTGACCTCTTGGCCTGGATCCTTACTGCTTCCTGACCTATTGCACCCAGGCCAACCCAATTCCTTAGTCTAGTCCCCAGGAGCGCTTAGGGCCTGTTTGCTACCTCCTTTGCCTTTGCATACCTGAGACAGGCCCTGTTCCCAGGCCAGTTCAGCCCCCAACATCCTGAGGCCAGCATCGTTCCTGGAGGGATCCAGACGTTAAGAGAAAGCCTGAGAGCATCAGATCCTCATCCAACTTAGGTCTTTGTGAGAACTCCTGAGCAGCAGGATGAAAGTCATCTGGCCCCTCCAATATAAAATCAAAAGAGAGAACCTGAAGCCTAGACCAACCAGCATTTCATGCTCAACAATAAACTACAAAGACACATAAAGTTTACAAGAAGAAGCGGACCTAAACTCAACAAAGGGAGGCTTCAGTCTCACACAAGAATCAGAAACTGCAAAAGAAATCCACATGTCAAAGTCATAGTAAAAAAAAATAACATGAAAAACTCAAACAATATGTCCCCACCAAGTACCAACAGTCCTGGGGAGGAATACAATGAGAACCCCCTAAAGATAACACAGGAAACAGAATTCAAAAGAACAATTATAAACATTATAAAAGGATTCAGTGAATTTAAAGAACACACAACCAAAGAAATCGAAGAATTGAAAAAAGACAGGGATAAATATCTGAATGAATTCAGAAAAGAGAAATATTGAAAAATACTTAGGCTGAAATGAAGAAGGAAGTGAAACATTTAATAAGCCTATTAGAAATGAGAGGAGAAAGCCTCATCAATAGGATGAATGAAATGGAAAACAGAATATCAAGACTAGAAAATAAAGTGGACAAATTAGACCACTCAGGCAAAGATTATAAAAAATTCAAGAAAACACAAGAATGGAATATGGAAGAATTGAGTGACACCATAAAAAGACATATGAATCATAGGCATAGAGGAAGGAGAAGAATCTCAGGATAATGGTATAGACAAAATCGTCAACAGGATTGTAGAAGGAAATTTCCCCAAATTAAAGAAAAACATGCCCATACAGATCCAAGAATCACATAGAACACCAAATAGACAGGACCGGAAAAGAACTCTCCATGACATATCATAGTAAAAACACTAAATGTACAAAACAAAGAGACAATACTGGAAGCTGCAAAAGAAAAACAACAAGTCACATATAAAGGAAAACCCATTAGGGTTACAGCTGACTTTTCAGTGCAAACTGTGAAAGCCAGAAGAGCCTGGACCAAAGTATTTCACCAAAGTATTCCCAGTTCTAAATGACCACAGATGCCAACCCATATTACTTTACCCAACCAAAAGGTCTGTTATAGTCAAAAGGGAAAGAAAAGTCTTCCATGACATAAATAGGCTGAAAGAATTCAGGTCCAAAAAACCAGCCCTTCAGAGAGTTCTTAAAGCAATACAAAGAAAGAGCTGAAGAAAGGAACAACTATACCCAAGGGGTAACAGAGAGAAACTTAAAGAAGGTATAACTGTGGAAACATACAGCAACACCAAGAATGCAACAGAAATCAAAACAACAGGAATGAATACGCATCTTTCATTAGTAACTTTAAATATCAATGTTCTGAACTCCCCAGTCCAAAAAAAAAAAAAAAAATCCAACAACAACAACAACAAAAAGAAAACAGACTAGTTGAATGGATTAAGAAAAAAAACCATCTTTGTATGCAGAAATCCATCTCACTTTCAAGGACAGTCACTACCTCAAAGGGAAAGGATGGAAAACATATTCCAAGCGAATGGTACTAAGAAAAAAGCAGGAATTGCAAATCTAGTATCTGACAAAATAAACTTCAAACTAAAACTAATCAGAAGAGATAAAGAAGGCCACTTCCTCTGATCAAAGGAACAATTGACCAAGAAGATATTATAATCATGAACATATATTCAACAAACTCTGGTACACCCAAATTCATAAAAACAGTATTACAGGACTTTAAGATCCAGAATAATTCCAACTCATTAATACTAAGGGACTTCAATACCCCATTGTCTCCATTAGATTGGTCAACAGGACAGAGAATTAACAGAGACATCTGAATTAAACAATACCATACATCAAATGGGCTTAACAGACATCTACCAAACATTCCACCCAAGCACCAAAGAATATACTTTCTATTCAGCACCCCATGGAACCTTCTCCAGAATGGGTCAAATATACTGGGGCACAAAAAAAACTTCAACATATACAAAAAGTTGGAAATAACCTCATGCATACTATCAGAACACAACGCAATAAAGCTTAAAATCAACATTGGAAGAAGCCCTAGTAACCATATGAACACATGGAGATTAAACAACACACTCCTGAATGACGAATGGGTCAAAGAAGAAATTAAGAAAGAAATAAAAGTATTCTTGGAATTACATGAAACACAACAAAACCTCTGGAACACATTGAAAGCAGTCCTTAGAGAGAAGTTTATAGCCCTAAGTGCCTACTTTAAAAAAATCAGAAAGAACCCAAATAAATGACTTAACATTGCAACTCAAGACACTTGAAAAGCAACAACAAATGAAACACAAACCCAGCAGACAAGAATAACAAAAATCAGAGCAGAAATTAATAAAATTGGAAAAAGAAAACAATACAAAGAATCAATGAATCCAACAGCTGCTTCTTTGAAAAGATAAACAAGATTGACAGACCCCTAGCCCAGTTAACCAAAAGACAGAAAGAGCACCTCCAAATCAACAAAATCAGAGATGAAAGGGAAAACATCACAGCAGACACCAACAAAAAGATCCAAAACACTATAAGGGAATACTTAAAAAATCTATATGCCACTAAATTTGAAAACCTGAAAGAAATGGATAGGTATCTAAAAGCATGGGAACCACCAAATCTAAACCAAGAAGAGATCAATAGCTTAAACAGACCCATAACACATAAGGAAATTGAAACAATAATACGAAACATCCCAAATAATAAAAGATCAGGACCAGATGGATTTACAGCAGAATTCTATCATACATTTAAAGAAGATCTATATCCAATACCACTTAATTTATTCAAAAAGATAGGAATGGAGGGAGAATTTCCAAATTCCTTATATGAAGCCAGCATCACTATACTACCAAAGCCAAGTAAAGGTATAGCCAAAAAAGAAAACTACAGACCCATATTCTTAATGAACATAGATGCAAAAATTTTCAACAAAATACTTGCAAACCACATACATACATACATCAAAAAGATCAACTCAAAGGTCAGTTCTATAAATCTTCCTAAGTTATAACTAATTCCAAATTTTCCCACAATACATTTCATTATAAACAGTTGGTGAAAAACACATGCAAACACAAGTACATACAGAACTGCAGAGTCATAGAGGCTGAGGGTCAGACTTCACATATAGCTGAGGGTCTGACTTCATATGTACATACAGAACTGCAGAGTCATTATAGCGTAGAGTCAGACACATAACGCACATACAGAACCCCAGCATCATGATGACTGAGGGTTTGATGTTAAATTTTTATTTCAATTCTTATTTAAAACATACAACATAAAACATGTTATTTATCAGGAATAATTTCTCCTAAACAGCAGTTTGATTCTAATTCTTTAACTCACATTTTATTTCAGTAAAGCTCTGCTTTGTAGATAAAGGGGGTCTTTTCCTCACACTCAAAAGCATATCTGAGATCTGAAACCTTTAAACAATGAGAAGCGGAAGAGTGTTTTGATTGTTCATTCTGCCTTACCAGAATCTTCTCTTACTATTGAGTAATCTGGAGGAAGACACAACAGCCTTTCATCTCTGCTGAATATAGAGGGTCTTTATGACGACTTTATGTCACTTTGTTGTGCAAGGAAAGATGCCATCCCGGGTCCCCTTCCCACTTACTTGTCACACTCCCAATTGCCGTTCTCTGCTTTTCTCCAACCCTCTCTCTCCCTCTCTCTTTATTCTTTACCAAAAATTTGGATTCCACATTCATCCTTACCGCGTCACCAGTAAGTGAGTGCATAGCTGGAAGCAATCACAGTTATCTAGGCACAGGGCCGCAGTCCAGAGCAGAGCACGTACCAGCATTTCGAGCTGTGACCTTGGAGCCATGTTTCAGCAGACGGACGAACACATTACTGCTGCAGTGGTTTATCATGTGCAGGTGGAGGCTTCGTCGAGTCCGGATCTTGATCAAGCATTTTGCCATACTGATCTTTCTAAAACTCCACAGCCTGTCACAGCCCAGGGCAGACACAACCAGTCATAGCAGTTTCATCTTCTTCTCACTGACAATTTTGTTTCAAAGGACCAATGCAGGGCACATTGAGAATGAATCAAATGTCAGGTTCTTAAGGCAGCCCACAGAAATAACTCATGAGGGATAGACTTGTGGCAAGGAGGAGGGAGAAGGATACTATTTTTAAACTCTTCACTCATTCCTCTGACAAAGAATAACATTTTATGCATAGTCCACAACCAGCCTTTTCTAAGCCGTCTATACCAGCGATCTCTATCAAATATCAAATGCTCCCAGAATAAAAAGACAATTTGCTAACTTCACAGTGAAAAAACACTCACTTTTATTTCTTTTCAAATGTTTATTGAGCCTCTATTATGTCTTGAACAGAAGTGAGACGTGCCCAATTAAAAACAATGCAGGCCACAGCTTTTTTAATGTGAAAAAGCATTTAATTAATAAAGTTTAATTAATTGTAAAGTATATTACAATTAATTTTAATAATTTTAAATAAAGATATCCAAAATAGTATCATTTCCACACGCAGCTTCATGAAACATTAAATAGTTCACATTCTTTAATAAGACTACATCGTTGAAACTATATGCCACATATGCACAGGCATAGCACGTTTCCATCAGGATTAGCCTCATGGGGCCAGCATGTTGGACTGCACATCTCTCACCAGAGTGATAAAGTTTTGTATGCTTCATCTCCATCCTTATCACTGCGGTAACAATTCACTTTATAAATAAGGCTTAAGGAGAAGAATGGACCTGAACAAATCCATAAAATTAGTAAATGGCATAACCATGTTGAAACTTGGCATTCAATTAAGGTCAGTTGACTAAAGAGTAAATCCCAGAAAGACAGCTGTCAGAGCTTCAACTGCTGACTGCAATGTGCTCTACATGTGGGAGTCAAGTATCACATTCCAGCTCTCAACACTTTAAAACACGTACACTTGTGCATTTGATAGATAAATGTGTTTGCATTCTAGAGTGGGTACTCAGAGAACATTTTCACTTTTTAAGGTCATGCTGCATAGTTGGAAATTTTCAAGGATTAATTATAATGCCTGAGACATTTTCTGTGTTTCTGCTGATAGGTTTTTGTGTTTCTGCTAAGTTCCTATCACTCTGTTTTCAGAAGAAAAATATTTCCTCACATTACATCATCATGCATTTTCTACTTTTAATGACTGTTACTTCCAAATGATGATTTTATAGTGAAAGTCTTTTCTTTGCTGCTGAGACAAAGGATTACATTTAGAACCAACATTTGAAATTCTGCATTGTTATAATTTATTATGAGAATAAAACTTGACAGCATTTATAAAAAAAAGTTTAGCAAAAATGTATGAAGTTTCACAGGTGTGATATGTTTAGCCATGAAATGCACCTTTAGAAATTTACTCTGAATGAGTTATCAGAAATGTTGACAGAATGTCCCACCTCTAGCTGAAGAGTTATTGGCATTTGGTAGCTTCTGGAAGAGGAAGTGTTTCTTTTAATGGTGTGACTCCTGGTAGGTCACCCACAATCCAGGGCACGTTCTACATTCAAGAATATTTGGGAACAAAAATTAGACTCAATGGAGAAAAAAAAAGAACAAAAACCTAGGAAGGAGGGGGTGGGTGTGGAAAGGGGGAAATTATAAGAATATATTTTATGAAATTCTCAAAGAATTAATGAAATGTTTTTAATTTTTCTCCTGAAGTATTTTTTTGAAAAAAATATTTTGCTGGGCCTTTAATCCCAGCACTTGGGAGGCAGAGGCAGGTGGATCTCTGTGAGTTCGAAGCCAACCTGCTCTATGTAGTGAGTTCCAGGCCATCTGGGGCTACAGGGAGACCCTGTCTCAAAAGACCAAAAAAATTATTTTATGAGTTTGAGTGTTATGTTTGCATATATATATAAGTCCACCCATGATGTGCAGTGCCTGCAGAGGATGGAAGAGAGCATCAGATCTCCTGGAACTGGAGTAATGAACAGTTGTTAGCTACCATGTGGGTGCTGGGATTCAAACACAAGTCTTCTGTAAGAGCAGCCAGTGCTCTTAACCTTTGAGACCTCTCTCCAGCTCAATAAAAATATTTTTAATTTTTATCAAAGAACCATTTATTTTAACAATAAAGCATCAATCTAAAATTTGAATATCCACATTATTCAATATATGTGATAATATATAGACATTAAAGTTCATTTTTTGAGGAATTTAATGATGTTGAAGAAACAATTTCACATATTAAATGAAGAAAGAATATTTACTTAAACAGAAAGAAGATAATCATGTAACAATATACACAGGACTAATATAGGACCAAATCATAAATACCCAAAGAGAAGGGCATGGGATTCAGTGCACAATGACCTAAGGTAGAAGGGTCACACCAGAAGACCTCTCAGAGACCTCCTACTCCATTTCACTGGTTGTTAGTTGCAGGTATGGTACAGAAAGCCTGGTGCACTTAGGGTGAGCCAATTTTCAAAATGATCCTTGAATCTAAAACTTCAAATGTCAACCCTGAATTTGTCAACATTTTAATATTTTTATTTTTGTGCATTTCATATAATAGATCTTAACCATATTTAGATCCCCTCTAAACCCTCATGCCCCCAAAGAATTTTATGTATTTTGTTATATATGTTAAGTCATATTCAATCAAACATTTGTACCCAGATGTCCCTCCATGCAAATTCATCCACTGGAATTTAGTCCGACGATCCAGGGTTACTCCCTTAAAGAATGTATACTCTCCCTCACCCCACAGTAATTGGTTGCCAATAGTTCCTCACCTAGGGTTGGGGCTTGCTCCCCATTTCCTTTTTTCTATGCTAAGTTTTCATCTGATTAGGTTGGCATGGTCTTTTGTATGTTGCAAGTTCACATGAGCAAGTTCCCAGTGGCCTGAAAGCCTTTGTTTCTTTAGGTTCATGAACCAAGCCTGGCTCTTATAATCTTTCTGCCCTCCCCCCAAAAAACACTCTGCATTCTCTCGTTCTCTAAAACTTAGTCAATGTGGTCTTCTGTGTGCAACACACCCTGTTGCATGAGGAAGTTTCCCTGGTGAAAGTTGACAGATGTATTAATATTCTCTCTACACCCTGTTCTGTTATGCTCCATGAGCAGTAAGTGTAGAGGTTCCACTGTACATATGACACTAAGGGCTGAGCATCTCTTAGGAATATTTTCTCTGTGTGTGACCAGTAGTGGAACTCTGTAATAACCTCCATCTGTTGCAAAAACAAAAAACAACAAAAAAAGCTTCTTCTTTGAGAGTTATAGTTGTCTGTAAATATAAGGATCTATGTATAGCATACATTAAGACCTTTCCTGCCATGTGTATTTGGCTATATTTACAGTGCCACCTGTGGGTTCCCTCACATTGAGAGGGCTTTAAGTCCAATTACAAATCCATTGATTGCCACGTAGATAAAAGTGCCACTGCTGCACCAATACGGATAGTGTGCTGTGCCAGTCATTGTGGTTCTTGGGCTTTACGTCTGAGTTGTACCACTGATTGATCTTCTCCCTTAGCAGCATGCATACTATCCTCTACAACTATGAAAAATAGTCTTCAGGGAGAAAGCTCCCAGGCCAGTTCCAGTTCCATTGCTCCAAGTCCTGTGTCCAAAGTATGTCATCTTTAGTAATAGGGTCTTATCTTCGAGTTCTGGGAGGTAATCAAGGGCTGGGGAAATAGACTGTGTTATTTGGGAGCCTCTTGGACTACCACTTTTAAAGGTGTTTCTTAGCCATTTTCGTTTCTTCATCTGAGAACTCTCTGTTAAGGTCCTTAGCCTGTCTTTTTATTGGGTCATTGGTATTTTTGTTTCTTTGTTTCTTGAGTTCTTTGTATATTCTGGATGTTAATCTTCTGTCAGATGTGTAGCAGGTGAAGATTTTCTCCCACTCAGTGGGTTGCCTCTTCACTTCCTTGGTTGTTTCTTGTGCTGTACAGAAGCTTTTTATTTTTATTTTTTAAAAAGTCCAAATTATTGATTGTTGGTCTTAACACCTGGGCAACTGGTGTCCGATTTGGAAAGCCCTTTCCTACCCTATATATGGTAGGGTACTGCCTATGCTTCCTTCCAGCAGTTTCAGAGTTTCAAGTTTCAGATTGAGACCTTTGATTCATTTGGAGTTGACTTTTGTGCAGGGTGTAGATAAGGGTCCAGTTTTATTCTTCTACAGGTGGAGATCCAGTTTTGCCAGCACCATTTGCTCAAGATGCTGTCTTTCCTTCACTATGTGTTCTTCATACCTTTGTCAAACATCAGATGGCTGAAATTGGTTGCACTCATATTTGGGCTTATTGTTCTGTTCCATTGATCTATGTGTCTGTTTTTGTGCCAGTATCATGCTGTTTTTATGACTATAGTTCTGTAACATAGTTTGATATTGGTATGATGACAACCCTAGTATTGTTCTTTTTGCTCAAGATTACTGTGGCTTCCGTAGTCTTTTGTGATTCTATATGAATTTTAGGATTTTTTTCTAGTTCTGTGAAGAATGTCATGGGGATGTTGATTGGCATTGCATTTAATCTACAGGTTGCTTTTGGTAGGATTGTTAATTCTACCAATCCATGAGCAAAGTAGGTCCTCCTCTCTTTCTTAAAAGATTTAAAATAGTCATTTTAGAGATATTTAATATCTTTGTTTGGTTTATTCTTAAATATTTTTTTCCAAGGTTATGGTGAATGGGAGGATTTCCTTGAATACCTTTTCTGATTGCTTGTTTTGGGTATATAGAAAAGGCTACTGATTTTTTTAAGTTGATTTTGTACCCTGCCACTTTGCTGAAAGTATTGATCATTTCTAGCAGTTTTCTGGTGAAATATTTGGGACCTCTTATGCATAATATCATATTGTCTCCAAATAGTAATCATTAGACTTCTTCTTTTCCAATTAGTACTCCTTTAATTTCTTTCTCTTGTCTTACTGCTCTATCAAGACTCACAAACACTATATTGAAAAGGAGTGGAGATAATGGACAGCTTATCTGGTTCCTGATTTTAATGGGAGTGCTTCCAGTTTTCTCCATTTAGAATGATGT